TTATATAGCTGACTTAAATTATTGATTAGTTTTCTATAATTAAGAACATGTTACTCTTTAACCTTTCTTCCTGATTATTTTAGAATCTATCTACAGACGTCAGTTGTAATAATTTATATGAGCATTATATCATTACGTTATGATATATTGAGTTAATCAGAACATTCCTACTGTTTTATGATGTTACTGAGTTAATCAGAACATTCATACTGTTTAATGGTTATATTGATTTAATCAGAACATTCATACTGTTTTATGGTTATATTAATTTAATCAGAATATTCATACTGTTTTATGGTTATATTGAGTTAATCAGTGCATTCGCGTGTCTTGAATTACGATAATTATCATAATTCAATAAATCTGTTTTATGAAATTACATGTAAAGAAATTAGTTACTGGCCTTTTAATATATCATGACTATGAATTGTGTTCTGTTTGATTATTTCACAATGTATACTGTTGTGTGAACGGTCTTTATGTCGATTTGTCCAAATAATTGGTGACATTGGCTCGCATAACCAAAATGGCTATATATACAAAGGAGAAGAATGTTACTTTCACACATACGAAACTGGACAGTTAGTATTATATGGATAAATCCCACTGATTTTCGCGCACACCCACACATTAAAGTTATGAGGTATGGAACATCGCGAAAAAGCCTTTCATTGATTCGCGGTTTCGATATTGAGCGCTGTTTCTGTCATCAAAATTCATAAAACCTTATCAACACTGATTATTTGAAGAATATCGTTGATGTGATTTTCATTGAATCGAACGAATAACGAGTTAAGGGGATCATATCCACCTTAATATCATATATGAATTGTGAAAAAACACAACTTATACGCCATATCAAAACGTAAAAGGTGCGTTATCAACCTGAAGCTGTCTTGAACTGGCTAAAGTTAATAATTTTCGAATAACCACGTATATTTTTATGATATTTTATATTCGAGTGCATACTTTATGAGCAACCTGTAGAATTGTTTATTAAAAGATAAGTTCAGAGGTGTGTTGAACACGTGTTTTACAGACTTTCTGCATCTGTTCGTGTTGAGACATCGTTTCGGCCTTTACTCTGAGGTCTGCGTGATCCGCGTAAATTAATAATAAAACTATTTAATATACATAAATGCTGGTGCTCTTATTTGCGCCAGAATATGATTTTCAAAAGATCACAACTCAAACCTGTTTAAGTGAAGCTGTGTTGTCTTATGCCGCGTAATATATCTATTGTTTCTCATACGCGAATTGTTCAAATCCGTACTATACCACAAAGTATTTCTCGCACTTTAAGTTGTGGGTGCATTGTAATAGTGACGGTTAATCCTTTAGCATGGTTGGTGAGTGGTAGGGTGCTGCTGACTGGCTGGCTTCTCTTTGGTCAGGAGTTCAAAAATGAGGGACGGCGCAGATAGCCTTAGTAGCTTTGCCATAAATACAAACACAAATTTATTGTTTCCCTTACAGTGTAAGGTTTTGTTTCTGATATATTTCAAAATACTGTGTTGATATTTATTTATAGTACAAAATTCACTATACACTAACTATACCAACTATATTTTGCTAGAAGTTTGTTTGTTTTAGCGCAAAGCTACAATGTGGGCGATCTATAGTAAGTCAACCATGCAACTGAACCCTTAACTTATTTAGCGTTATAATAAGCCCCGAAGCAACATAATCTAAGTAACTATTGCATCACATCTTTAACGTACAACAAAATTACTGACACGACTCTTCATGATAACAAAGCATCAGGAATCACGATAGTAAAAATTGTCCGAATCAGTTTTATCACAGTTCTAAAGTCTTAATTTAATGTCAATACGATCGATTTTCTGAGATGATATCAATGTAGAATATTTTGACCGATGGAAGCTCTTTATTTTATGGCTAAGCTTTTGAAACTGGCATATGATCTTATTGTTTACTTTATCATATAAGCTGTAGGCGTTTTCTTCTATATCGTCGTTCTCGAAAATCATAGGGATCTTTTCACCTTACGGATATAATAATGTGATGTTCCAGCTCCATGCAAAGTTTTCACGATTATTGGATTAGCTTGTTTCGCATAGAGGGCTTTAACAACTGGATGTATATTTTTTCATACTTCCGCTATCCTATGCAGAGCTTATTACTAAGGCTGCCTGCGTGCTTTCTGATAAAAATAGCAATTGCTGGTGGTGCCTACCAGTAGCTTATAACATATGAAGACAACCGTATTCATTCCAACTGTCAGGCACAGATTAAACAACTGTCAAATAAATAACCAAGCAACCGGTATTCATTCATAAACAAAGACTCTTCTTAATGTTATCATTATTTAAAAGCTTACAACATCGTCTAATAGGACTTGTGAATCATTATATTTTACTTGTATGTTACAGTAAAGTTTTACCATGTTAGACTATAATGTGTTCATCAATTTACTTCTCACCTTTTCGTGTTTTTTCTGATCCAGCTGACTCATACTATACAATTTCCTAAATCTGGCAAGTATCCTTGATAATACAGACTAGTCTACTATGTAGCCTTTACATATCACTTGGCTACGCTAGACCTCGTGTTTGTGATTTCGATACCAGATCTTTTTTAGACTTTCCTCCTTTTTTTACCTCCTTACATTTATCCATGTGATGTTTTTGCCAGAGTATTTTCAACTAAACTAATCAAATAGCTCACATGAATTATGTAGACGAATTTTGAGATATTTCTTGGCCATACGTTTTTAGGTATTTCATTGTTTGAGGTAGTTATCCGTATTGGAGATTAATCCATTGATTTTAGGTGCTGTTGCTAAAATAGAGGCGTGTGTAAGAGGTATCTCTTCACTGTCTGTTTTGTTGAAGTTCACGCAAAATTTCTCTGGGGTTATCTGCGCTAGCCGTCCCTAATTTTAATGTGATAGACTAGAGGGAAGGCAGCTAATCAACTGGTGAGCAACTATTATTGAATAGTGGGACTGAACCCTCGGTCTTATAACTTATGGCCCCAAAATGCAAATTGCGGTTCAGTTTTTTTTTTGTTTGTTTGTCTTGCGGTAACAGGGCGCAAACCACGGAATCTCGGATCCACGGTTCGGGAGGCTAACCAATTGGCCTCGCTCTGCCAATGTCACCTTGTAACAGGTGAGAATCCACAAACACAAATGTCAGTGACAAAAGTCATCCACATCGGTGTAACGCCTAGGAATTTCTTGCGATCGGACACTAATTGGATTTTGAAATAAATCAAGGAGGAATGGTGTATTTTGAATATGACAGCCTTACGAGGGATACAGCTGCAGGGTTATTGTCAAGTTGTACGGTCGTCAGACAGAAAACGACTGGACGTGGCAAAATGGACTGTAACAACGTTGTGAAGTTCCAACCTCTGCTCAGCCTCTGTATAACAATTAATAACGTATTTATAGTCTAGTCTAGTGGTGATTTGTATGTCTTAACTTTCCTCTGTCATAGAAAGAAGTGCATCAGTAGTCTGGTGTTTTTGTGTGTGTGTGTTGATTTGCCTCTATGAAATAAAGAACTGTATTTGTAGTCTGGCATTGTTGTTTCATCTTGCCTATTGTACAAAGTTATTTTAATATTTTGTTGGAAATATCATTTATTGGAAGTGACGTATAAACAATATTGTCAGTCATAACAATACATTTCATTACCCTCACCCATCTAGATCCTCAGCGACGAATCAGAGTTGAGTCATTATTAACAAATGTTTATTAAACTATAATTACTTGGGTAATTATCAAAGCTCATGTACCGAAGTTCTAAAGGCCATGGGTAATACCCAGTTATTTCAACTGATTTTAAAACGTTCCCTTGTAAAATTGTTTTGTTCGTCCTATAGCTTAATATTGAATGAAAAGTAGTTTAGAAGACAGTAAAGCTGACGCTGATACCGCTTCTGAACTGTTACAGACAGCAATCATTTGAATGCTTATGTTCGTCTGAAAATGTTTTGCGTTTCTTCATCTGCAAGTAAGAGAAGGATATTTATTATTTTAAACATAAGTAGCAACAGCGCCCTACGTGACACGTGAGCTAAAAGGTTAGGTCATAAACCCCATTCGTAATTTAGAACTGCTACCCAGACGGAGGGCATTAGTCAGCAGCATCCACCGCCTTCACCGCTACACTCCTTACATTTAACCGAATAGCAGGACTGTTATAACGCCTACACACAACTGAAAATGCTGAGCATATTCAGGAGTATATCGCGGCTAGAACCTTGAATCTTTCGAACTGCTGACTAACACGTTAACTACTTGATCACATCCTGCTGGTTAGATGAAGGGAGAATAAAGTCTGTTTTAGATTTAACATATATATAAATCATATTAGCACAACTGTTAAAAGTATAATGTAAATGTAATGATGCTTTATAGCACAATTTTCCTAATTTTCTAACATTGTGAAAATATTGTAACATATGTGGGTACAATAATTTTGTTTTCATTAAATTTCGTTGTATCAACTGAACGTGCGGTTTATTTTTCATGGAATTAAATAATTCTTTCTTACGTTATGATATATTAAAGTATAAACATGCAAGTTACTTTGGTAATATAAAACTTTTCTCCGTTATGATGTAACGTAATGGTTTCAGATAATTCTTCTATTGTATTTCTAGATCATCAAATAGATCATCATGACTCCAATACTTATGCCCGAAAGGTTTTAATGAACATTTGATTTTCATTTCATAAATCAGTTGAACAGAATATATATAGCGAACCCAAGGATTTGACATGCCATGTTTCGTTTTCTCGGATTATAAAGACAGTAATGAAGGGGAATAATCAGTAAGTTAGAAAAAGTACGAATAAATGGGGAGCTTCACATTTATGTGTATACCACTGCTTTAAAGACTGGTTATCTTTAAGTATTGCTAACATTACATTATTTCAGTTTTATTGCCCTAAACCTTTATTGTGTTATCTGTTTACTATATGATTTTATCTTTTATCGTAAATCAATACTGCACTTTTCCTTTAGAAGCAAGGCCCTCGCATGAAGTGTCCTGCTTGTAAGATAACTGCTCACACTGGTTGCATTAGTATCCTGATTGAAAAGGTATTTCTAAAATTTTAGTATTAACTCAAATTTAAAATTGACTAATAAAATACTAATGGGTGTCAGAAATCCTTATTTTGAATTATCTCAAAGAAAATAACGTACATCAATGATTTTGTAGAAAATATTCGTAACAATAAATGTTCTTTCGAACACTAAATTTTTAATACACGAGATAGAACATTGTTTAACGAATTCTTTAACATTTTACAGTGATTTCAAAGCAGTGCAATTTGCTGATATGCAATTGTTGTGTTCATTTGCTTTCAGAAGTTTTATTGTAAACCAACATTCAAAGATGTCGGAATACGTCAATACAGAGAGGTAAGCCATTTCCTTCTTTGTCTTTATACTGAAATTAAAACTAATAAAATAGTTTATTTTTCGCAATTCTCGTAAGTTAATTGTCGTTGTTTTTTAGAAAACTTTAACATACATACATGTTTATAAACGAAGAGAGAAATTCTGAGGCAAACTGACATTTTTTTACCTGCTTGTTTCGTTTGTGCAATTTTGTTACTGTTGTTGTGTGTCACGTTTACATGATGTTTTTCTTTCCCAATATATGTGGCGCCAGCTGCTGCTTTAGAAAGCAAACTAGACACATCTGCTACCCTACGTATATAAAATATTATATGAAAACGTTTTATATGTACAGAGGTGTACATATTTTGGGTTTTGCTTGTGGGTAGATACGTGTGTGCTGATAGATAGATAGATACAAAAGTCCACTTTTAAAGGTGATTATATCTGCAATCCTCGATTTGAGATACTCTTATTTATGTATCATAACTATCAGTTCATTTTAATGATATTTGTGTGATATATTTTCATAGCATAAAATCATACTAGCTACTCTTCAACCCAAATACATAAAACTATGCTATGTACGTTTGAACACTTAGAAAAACGATAAAAATAAATTTATAGCTTAAATTGCATTTTCAGGCTAAAAATTTAGCTAATATGCTATGAAACCTGTTTCAGTAAAAGAATATTAAAATGTAATTTTCATATCGAAAACAAAAAAATACAAATCTTGTCTTTTCCAATTGAAGGCCGCACTATCTGCTTATATATATATATATATATTAAAGTTAAAAGCTTTCTATGCCGTATAGGATCCTGTGCTGAACTCCGGCTTAGTTGGCACAAGCGGATGAGAATGATGATACATTCCTCCTGGACATGATGCCAGTCCATCGTGGCTTGACCGCCAGCTAACAACTAGGTACCGTCATACAGCTGGGTAGGCGGTAAAGTGCCTTGCTCAAGGACACAACAACATAAGGCCGGCAATCTCTTAATTCGCAACCATCCGATTATGAGTCTTAAAACGCGAAGCCACTGAGCCATATTGTACCACTGTGTGTGTGTAACGTAATAAAATAAAGTGTTTATTTCAGTAGTGGTGGCACTTTTGTAACATTAGATTTGCCCCATAGACAACAACAGAGCACTCTTTGAATTATTTTATTAACACAACTTCTTACTTTACGTATACGGAAGAAAGGATTCTTCAACAGCGATGTAACATCATATATAAGAATCTATATACATGTATCATCATCTTAAGTTCATACTTAGATCACTTTTCAGACCACTTTATTTGAGAATTTTAACAAGAAAGTTACAAACATGTTTACCATTGCAAGCAACAAAAAATAAAACTTTAATTATTTCAGAAAGGGTATATGATTTCTTTCTTTTTAGCAAACCCTAATCTACCATCACTGGGTGCACCGGCGGCAGCAGAAAGAGCGTTGCAAACAATGTGGAAAGGTGGGAAATAATACCACTCTTAACCCTACAATGGACCTCATCGACTAAATATACACTAAGTTATTATAGGTCCATTATTTCATTGGTTCCTAATAACGTACTAGTAACACAAAAATGTAAACAAAAATAACAGCAATATTATAATTAAACCCTTTATATCGTATCTCTATATAAAACATTTATTAGTACAGTTTTTGAGAGTAAAATCGAATAAAGAACTGATATAAACTTAACTACTTAATATTACTATTATTTTTAAGAGTGTAAAGTTTGACATTACTGGGTTATGAAATTAACCCATTTTCAGAGATGACACATAAGTTACCTTAGGTTAAATGGCAGATTTGTGTATAAACTTTAAATCAAACTTTTAAATAGTTATTATCATTTCAATAGCTGATAATAAAAAACAGTAGATTTAAAGAAAGTTCGCCAAATTGCACATAGTTCATAAAACGTATTCCTATACACTATTATTGAAAAAGACTATCTAATTTTCATGTAGGCCTTCCAGTCGAAGCTCTCATTTGGCAGCAAAGTAAGTTGCGATTTTTGCAACATTCTATTTTCTTTTACGCAGTTTATTTTAATCCCTTGATGTACTGTTGGTAGTTGTTTAAATTTTTATAAAGTTGATGCATATCATATATTTGCCTTTCGTGTTTTTTTTTCATAAATTACGTATTTTCATACGTTTTGTGAGTATTATCTATGTACTTACTTTTATATAATGTCACGTATTAGAATTTCAAATGGTCTGAAACCGAGTTAACTGATAATTTAAATTTAGTAGTTTAATAAAAGCCGATATATAGTCTGTTTATGATATTTGCCAACAAGATTGAGGGCTTGTAATACTAAAAATCAGATTTCGATACTCGCACTGAGCAGAGCAAAGTTAAATAGCCAATTGTGCAGCTTTGCGCTTAACAACAACAGAAAAGTTTCTCTCAAGCTTTATAGGTTGATATTTATCAGATGTTTAAAACAGTCCATTTTTTTTACTACAAAAATCCTGGTTTTGAAAAGAATATTAGCTTACTATATATTTATTATTAGAACAAATGTTCATGATGGTAAATTTATAAATGGCTACATGCATTAACAAATTTTCTCATTCGTTACCTTTTTTTTATATACTCTCGGTTTTGCTAGATCAGTTTTGTTTCAATACAAAGTATGACGTTATGCCTGAGGCCCCAATGAATCCGTATATATATTTTTATATTCATTTTTGTATTCAGCTATCAGACTTAATGTGCTGTTAACGTGCACGACACTTTTTCAACTTTTGCGTAAAAAATCTTTAACTCACTGCATATCTGCGGCATGCCTTTTGTTCGTGACGGAACAAAGTATTCTATGTAAAGATTTCTGAAGATTGAATTCTTTCTTACGATTTCTGAAATTATCAGGTATTTTTTGTTCAGTTTCATATTTACGTGAACATTGGTAGTGAACTAACTATTACCATATTTTATGTAGGGGTAAGCAATTTGGATTTTCTGGAATTTTCGTATCGTTATGCAAGAAGTTTTGTTCGTTAAAGCTACAAAATGGGCTATCTGCGCTGCGCCCACCACGACGGGTATCGTAATCTGGTTTCTGGCGTTAGAAGTCCGCAGACATATCGCTGTGTCTCGGCGGGGGGGGGGGACTATGCAAGAAGTTATTAACAATATGTATACTGCTTGTTTTTTTTTAAAGTAATGATCATACTTGTATATTCACGATTAAAAGTATTTTAGCTAAATATTGATAACAGTTGTGTGTGCTTAAATGTATTTGTACACAAGAAGGCGTTTTAAAACTTTATTTGATATTATTACTTCACATATTTCCACACAAGAGGGCGATTTAAAACTTTATTTGATATTATTCCTTCACATATTTCCACACAAGAGGGCGTAACTCTTAGGCAAACCGAGGTTCGTGGATTATCATGGTAACACAACACAAACACTTCAGGAGTTTCAACACAGTGAGAAATATATGCTAGTAACTTTGATAGTATAATATGTGGACAACTGTACAACAGAAAATCTACGATCATTACTTAGGTTTCCAGCAATATTGTAACTTTCATAAGCACTAATAATTTGATGTGAAGGAATAAAATAAAGTTTTAAAACGCTTTATTGCGTAGAAATATGTGAAGGAATAATATCAAATAAAGGTTTAAAATAGTATCCATTGCCAAAAAGGTTTCTGTCTCTGAACTACGAGCAAACAGTTTAGTTAACAAAATTTCCGGGCGTGCTGTGCTACGTTTCAGAGGTCATGTTACACATATAGCTCGTTATAAAGCCAAAGTTTGAATAAGATTGTGTTTCTTGATTTAAATTTGGTATTATACGTGTTAATATGGCCAAAACTAAGGATTTCCATATAATCTAATTACCGAAAAGGTTTACATATCGTAGACAAAGTTAAAATCCAGATTTTACTCAAGAAATATTTTTATTATTTGTATAATGATTTTTTAAAATGTTTAATATGAAAGGATCAATTTAAACAGACATGAACATAGAATTGTTATTTGATTTCAGGAGATCGTAGCTATTAGTTGTTCCTGGTGTAAAACTGCTTATCACAATAAAGAATCGTGCTTTAATATGTGTAAGATTGAAGAGCAGTGCACTCTGGGAATCCATACTGACATCATCGTTCCTCCGTCTTGGATAGTAAAACTTCCAAGGAAAGTGAGTAGAAATATTATATTTATTTGTTTTTATTTCATACGATTTACTGTGAAGCATGAGAACAGGTCGTACTTCAGATTTTTAGTTTTCTATGTTCGATAAGGTAACAATACAAATTATTATATTTTATTATCGTTCGATTATTGTGTGTCTAACAGTTTGATATGTGTTGTAATGAAGTCATAAAAATGTGTCGGATCTGTTGATGTAACTAGAACGGTATTCCTTGTTTCGTCAAGGCTCATGAGGTTTTGTGTTTAATAAGCTACAGGAACCTACACGATAAGATTCTACAGTTATTTGTTTTGTTTGTTTGTTTGTTTG